ATATATGCAAAACCGCCAAAAATGGAATATGTTAGTGAACCCAAATCGTGGCACGGGCTATCTGAAGTTGGGCTTCATGGCCGGCCCAATAACAGACTAGGAAAGGAAAGCCTCAGCGGGGCCCATCTTTCTTCCATGCCCGGGATGATCCACTCCGCCGAAACTCGCCGCTACCATCCGCCTCATCGTGCCTGCCGGTGGCGCCTTCCTCGCCCTCGGGAACGACCGGCTCAACCTGATGGTTTTCTGTAAGGACTTCAACGCGCGCTCCCAGGAGTATGGACACGCCACTGCCGTCACTATCACCGCCTACTTGGATGACACCTTGGAGTTCACCGTCAAGTCTCCCTCCGTCTCCTGCTTCCCCAATTAGTGCTCCAGAGTCGGGACGGCAGCAGCCGCCCTGGTCATATCGGTGCCTCCTCCGTCACCTTCTTGTAAGCACCTCTCAGTCGAGGCCATCTGCAAGTCAGTGCCGCGACATCTCTGATCGATACCACCGGTACCATCTTCAAGTCCTTGCAACTTAATGATAAACCAGATTGATCTGTTCACATTAACTTTCAGGTTGAAACAAAATCTAGTGTTATGTGGATCTCCAATGGTATATGAGTGTGGCATGATTCTTCCCTTTACGTTTCTTTTTCTAAAGAAGTGGATCTAAAAGGAAAATGAAATTATTACACCATAGAATGTGTGAGTGTCCTAATCTAATCAATGCTATATCTATTATGACAATATCAATCTTATGCAAATATTCAACTAATATTAACCATGGTGAATTTGTCTACTACTCTGAAGAATGACATCCATTAAATGTTACTATAATTTAAAGCCGCTAACAATTAATTTTTTTAAAATATTAAACTATGTTGTAAGGTCATCTTGCTTTCTCTCTTTGGAAATTGTTCAGTATCAGTGACCTCTCTGTGGTCCTCATGAGTTCCTTCAAAAATGTTAAATTTAAATATGAATATATGTTTAGTAGCTCATAAATGGATTCCAGAGTGCCAATGTTTGATAAAAAAGTTTTATTTACTTTTAATTACTGTTTATTGATAGTGCCCCAATTACATGTTTGCGACCAGGTCTCCAATTTTCATGAACTGGATTGCTTGCCATCCTCATGAGTTCCTTCAAAAATGGTAAATTTAAATATGAGTATATATGTCTAGTAGCTCATGACTGGACTCCAGAGTGTGAATGTCTGATAAATTGTTTTTTTTTATTTTTAAATACTTTTTATTGATATTGTCCCAAATCACATGTTCGAGACCAGATTTCCAATTTTAGCAAACTTGATTGCTTGTCATCTGATATAGGATTAAAAAGCATTAAGAACATATATCATAGTTTCGCGGGTTGTAGCAATCTTAGTATTATGAGTGTGACCATCTAGAAGTTCCTTCACTGATAAACATAGGTTTTTGGGGCTTATGAATTGGCTATGGTTTTAGAAAAATGAAAAATTGCTTGAGGAGAAAGCTTGAGTGAACATAAACAAAATCTAATCATATTTTTCACACGAGCTTACTTTGCAATTGTTTTTTTTTTTTCCTTTTTGTGCCTTTGGAATGTTGGAAGGGCGACAAGCCTTACGATTGATTCAGCAGAGTATCAATCCCAAGCAACCATTGTTTGAGATAGAGTTCAAGTTAATCATAGTGTTGCTGAAAATTGCTAGAGAAGGTGATAAGGCATTTGTACAGATTTAATAAACAACTTTTCATTGAAAAGAAGTCTGTTCATTGAAGATCTAATGCACAGGATGCACACATGAACAAGTAATTATGTAAAAATCCAGTATCTGAAGTATGATGATGACTGCATTTATCTAAAGTATTCCACTTCCTGCTAACTTATGATGATGATTGCATTTTCTTTATATGGTTGGTGGATATGTATAATTACCCTTTCTCTTTGAAGGTGTAAAGGTGCTATGTGCTGGTTAATATGTCACCTTACGGGATTACTTCTACTAACATAAGTTGCGTTTTGGCTATCTTACAAGTTTTGTACTTTAATGGAAACATAGCAATCTCATTTTCCCTGAATAGCGTCTGAAGTCAGTTGCAATCCATCATCCTATGTGAATTAGCATATTAGGAATACACAAAGTATGACTCAGATTAGTTTTAGCTATTCTTTTCTGATAGATTTTCATTTATAGCTGAGATTATTCCCCATCAAGTCGCTAGTCTGCAATCGGCTTTATCTTTTCAACATCTTTACAAAGAAACACTCGCACTTCGATGGAGGTTCCGATCGGGACTCTATCCTAGATTTTATTTATAGGATCCAGTAAGCCGGACATTCACCTTTTGTTATGCATCTTGGATCTGGAACTTCAGTGACATTCATTGTGCATAATGCGGCAAGCATTTCTCCTTGTCCAAGGTAAGTTAACTGCAATCGAGTAAAAGTTCAGTTTTTGTTGCAAACATAATTCTGTTATGTGAATTTTCTTTTTCTTTTCTTTTGTTTTGTGCTAGTAGTTTATTGCATTGAACTATCTAGACTAGGTTATTTTTTCAAAACTGCAAGCAGAATCCTTGGAGTCAAATGATGTCAAACTTTGATTAGGGGACATGTCTTCTACTAGCAACGGCTTTACATTTATTTCCTGACTTCAACATAATCTCTGTTCTCTGTATCTATTATTTCATCTGTTAGTTCGTCATGAGACAATGTTCATAATTAAGCTAAGCTGTTTTTTGGAAAAGAAGATTATCGCTAATGGTTTTGTGTTCTTTTGTGGAATTTGATATCATGGCAAAATTTTCTTCCAGGATCAATGGAAAAACAAGTAAGCAGAACAAAAGCAATACAACCTCAATAAGAGCGGGCATGATCCACTGCGATTATGAAACAGATCCTATTTCCATCGGAATGTTATTTGGGGTGGGGCTAAGCTCATGATGTGAGAATTGGAGAGCTTCAAGGGTAATACACAGTTGTGGAAGACCACCTTTAAGAAGAACTTGGAGATTGATGCCATGGTCATCTGCCTCCTAGCATATTCCTCACTTCCTGTAGCTCCTTCCTTCTCGAGCACCCGAAATTTCTAATTGCCGTAGTCCATCTTGTTTCCCTCCTCAGATGAGAGACGTCAGAGTAATTCGAGTAGAGTCTTGTATTTGTTGTGTACTATTATGTCTCTGATATTATACGAATCGTGATCTATTTCCAAATAATATCTTCTAAATATTCAGTGTCTGTGGAGGAAGTAACACGGAATCAGACGAAGGTGAGTCTAGTATCACAAACATCTCTATTTTCCTTTTCTTTCTTTTTTTTCAATATATTTTCCATGAATATAAAAGAGAATCAATGTCAGCTATTATGTGTTTGTAAAATCCTACATTTCTTTTCTTTGGAACAGAATCATTTATTCGTCGGAGGTAAAATCCGACAGGGTGAGTAGTCGCCTGAAACAGGATTCTTTCTTATTGCAAAACATAGCATAATCAAACTATATATCAGATCTATTTTCTTCCTCGGAAACACGAGAAACAAGCATGTCTGGATCATAAAAAAATGTTTCTAATCACATTGATAACCCTCTAAGAGTGTTTCTCCTATTTAATAACCGCGCAAGAACTGTAGAATAAGATTCAGCTTGAATTTTCTGCATCTCTTCCCGTCTTTTTCTTTCTTCCCCACTCATTTTGAGATAGCAACAGCCTCATAGTAGGAAAAAAAAAAACGTAATTATTAATCTTGTCACTGACATAAATCGCTCGGTAGAAAGATCAATCTTTCTCTGCTCTAACAATGCGTAATATTCAATTCAAGGCTGGAGAAAGTTCATGGTAGCTAATTTTCTCCATCTCACATTGGACTTTGTCCTTTGGTGAACAGTATCCACTTGCTATTCCATCACAGCAGCCACACAGTATTTTTCTACGATTATTCATGGTTTGGCGTTGACTTGGAATGACAAGTTGGACTCCTGCTGTTTCCAAAAAGTCAAAGTCACCTCCATGGGATGACTTCGCTAATCACTCATTCTCGTTAAGCAATCCAGCCTTACAAGGACAAAACTGAATACGCCAAAGTGGGTTGACGAGCCCTTCTTATTCGGTCGTACTATACTCGTGATACAAAAAATACTTTGACCAGTGGAAGCCTTACACGGATATGAACATAAGAAACCAGTTGATCACCAAGAATATTCGACTTGGAGTGCAACGAAGACACAATTACAGGATGTGATGTAAAATGTCGGGGCAAAACATTCTTCTTGATTGATACATGATTCAGATTTCGATGTAACGTGTAGGCTTCGATTTAAATTCCACCAAAGATATTTTATGATATGATTGATCAAGATTTTATTGCTATTCGCATTGGATTGTTCTTCGCTTCATGATAAAAGAAATAAGAACAAGGTCAGTATTTGTTTCTAATCGCCAATCCATACAAAAATTACCCTGAATTTGCAGTTTGCAATTTATTTTTGCATCAATATGAATGAGTTAATGTAGTTGTATCTATCATCAATACATTTAAGAAAAAAAATAAAAAGAACCATTTTTTTTCTGCTGGTGCCATTTCAACAAGCTTGAAGCATATTCTACCTGTGAATTTACGGTTGGACTGGTCAAAAATTAAGAAGCTGGAGAACCAAGTGAGAACAAGAATGAGATGCACGTTAAGAACAGTCAATATTTGTATGCATCAGAGGTAAAAGTCGACTCGAACAACATTGGTGACCAATCGGCGGATTGCTTTAACTTGGTCAAATTTGTTTCTTGATGGAATGAACTTTCTCTGTGAACTGGCACTTGGCAACTCATGGGTTCGGAAGAAATTTCTTCTTGTTCAGCTGTGTCTACCCCCAAGCTTGCATGCTTGTATTAGATAAATTCCAAGCTGCATGTGAGATGATTTTTAGTATGCTTAAATAAGGGAATCCCATTTCATCAGATTTGCTTTTACGTTCATCGGTAAGTGGTATGATCGGTGCTAATTGTCTACTGCATCATAAACATAACGCAAATGGTGATTTCCTCATGGAACCAATACAAGTAGAAAACTTAGGACTGTCACAAGATGTTGCTTGCACTGTTTGTTATCAGAACTCAAGATACTTGTTACAATGTGAAGGCAAAAAAAGAGAGGAAAACCCTCGTGATGACAAAGCGCACAGTTATCTGGTTGCTTGTATCATTCAAATCAGGATCAGTGTATCGTGCGTGATCGGTGAACAATGCCGAATTTGTTGACAAGGGAAGCATGTAGGGTTTCCCCAAAACTGTTTTCCTCGACATAGGAATAAGAGGAAGGAAACTGGAGACATGAAGGACGAAACAAGTTGCAAATCACTTCAGCTTAAATCTTTGGTGCTGTTGGAGAGAGACTCGAGCACCCACTTGCTGCTGCTTCTACTGCTACTCTCCCCATCCTTTTGTGCCCAAGTCTGGCTATCCTTGTTTATGAACGAGCTAATGGCTGCTGCGACCGCGGCCGTGAACTTTGAGTCTGAAGCAATAGCACCGATGTTTCCTGCCAAAGACACGTTGGCACTCTCACCGTTCCAGGTCCCCTTATGTGGTAGCCAAGAACTTCCACCAGCAAAACCAGGATTTGGAATGGAGGAGGCGGCCCACGGGTACGTTGCACTGGAAGGTTGTTGGCGCCCATGGTCATTGCTGCTAGCCGCACCAAAGATGCCGGAATAGCTAGTAGAACTTGTGAGGCTGTTCATGGGCGGTAAATGGGGAGAGGGATTCGCCAGGTAAGGGTTCAAGTATGACGATGGTGCGGTGTCCGCAGTGGAAGATGAGGAAGGTGCGTCGTTCGGCAGCATAAAAGTAGCTGCTGTTGGTGCTGCGAAAGCCAGTGCGGTTGCGCCCACAGGTAGGGGATGGTTGTGTGTGCCTTCGTAAGTCGTAATCAGTATCGACATGTCCTCGAGGCATCGCTGCACCTGTTCAAACGAAAATATCTTTGTTGAATTGATTGCCGATTGCCAACGAATCTCATCAACGCCTTATCTGTAGAAGACATCAAAATCGGGCTTAGTTCTGCTATCTACCTGCTTTCGAACGGGGCACCCCTGTGCGACGGTGCATCGGTAGTAAGCTCTCGGACATGGATTCCCTTTCGCAACCTTTTGCCCATATTTTCTCCATTGCAATCCATCATTCATCTATAAGTACTCCTTGAGAAAGAGAGTTAGCTCGAATCCATGAAGATGGACATAATTTTCCTAAAGAGATGCATGTAAAAGCTTCATTCTCAGTAAGACTTACGGTCGGCCCTTGGCATCTTGCTCTAACTGAAACCCTAGTTTTTCTAGTGGTTGGATTGATGCTTTGACTTGTGACGGTGGAGAACCCACCAGTTTGCAGCTTGTCATCAAGTGGTTGCCAGATCTTCGATCCCTTCCCTTTCTCCTCACTTGTATCTGCATGAGGGCCCGCAAATGTTCGCAGACTCAAGGATAAGCCCAACTCGTTGTCATCACCTAAGTCGCCGCTTTGAGCGGCCACCGATGGTTCCTCGATCTGTTCGCTCTCGCCGGCCTTCATCGGCTCTTGGAAGCTCCCCCCTCCGAGCGAAAGCGAAACTCGATGCTCCTGAATACATAAGCCCGCAAGAGTTGAATCATCAAAATCTTTTGATTGGATGGAAGACAACTCAGGTGTAAAATGATTACTTTTGGCTGCCCCTGCTGTTGGATGTCTGCCAATCTCATCTGTAGCTCGTAATAATCGTTCGAGATGCGATCGATGACCTCTTGTAATCGCTTGTTTTCTTCCTTCATACGATCCATCTCAGCTTGCAACGCGCACAACTGCAGACGACTTCAAAGGTCATAGCTTAGCACATACAACAGAAGAAGGTATGAAGAAAAGAGAGAATTAGCTAACCTCATCCTCGATCGTAACTTTTTCTATGGGATTCTCACAACCTTGATCTTTCTCCTCCTTTGGGGTCTCCTCACGATGGTTGCTTCCCTCTTTGGCTCCGCTCAAAATGATCTTTTCGCCACCCTCCTCCTCTTGCTGGTGGTGGTGTTGATCACCAACCGCATGACCCCCTTCTACCTCTCTTTCCTCATCTTCTGCTGCTTCCAAGGACAGATCTATGTGCATTATACGCTGCTTCCTCTTCTTCTTCGATGACATGATCTTCTTGTAGTTGATGCCCCCCCCCACCCCCCACTATTCTTTCTCTCTCTAGAGGTCTAAATGATGTTACCGAGGCAGGGGAGTCAACGTCGAAGGCGTATTAAAGGGTTTTAGACGGAGCAAGAAACAAAGGCTCGCTCTCACACAGTGCCTTAATTTTCTATGCAGCAAAATAAGACGTATGGGGAGTAGCTCCAAACAACGATCGATCCAACTGACAATGACGCATGCCCCTCAAGTCAAGAGGGTGATATTTCCCAAGTGTTCCTGGTTTTGGTGCGAGCGATGGTCAACCCCATGGAATTTTGAGGGCTGACGTCCTTATCGTCACCCAGAACCAAACACAAACAAATGGCGGCTATCGCCTACCATGACATGAAGCTTCTCAGGCTGATACATGCTGGCTTTAGCTTACACATGACGGCGAAAATCTACATGGTTCGACTTCCACCACCGTCTCAAGTTTGGCATTCCATCGTCTCCCAACTCATCTTAATTTGGCGCCTAATAGTTGCATCCATCGGGACTGATTAGTGTGGGGAGCTACATATGCTTGCAAGCCAAATCACACCAAATTTGCATTCTTCTTATGTGTTTTTGTTTTTCTTCATCGTTTTTTCGTAGTTAATATGAATTAATCTCCGTCGCGGCCTTTTAAATCATGCACCAGAAAGAATACAAAGTTAAAAATCGAGTTTTCCTTTTATTTCCAACAATATCATTTAATTTCCATAACGAAAACAGTCCTAAGATAAACTAGGTTTAGATAAATTTCTCTAATATTCCTCACAAGAGAAGAAGAAGAAGAAGAAGAAGAAACCATAAGTTCTCTAAGATCATGTATTACATTCAATTCCGATGCTAATATTTTGGAGGCTATCATCACACACTATGGAACAAGCGTTTACCAACTCAGCTTCATTGATGGCTGATTCCCAACTATGGTCAACTCCTCGCAATATTCAAGCACACTAGCTAAAGCTGTCTCCAGGAGGCAATTTGGCATCTCCTTAATGGTACCCGAGAAGCCTCTCACATGTACAGAATCCCAAGAATGAAAGCTTCTGAGATCAGCCTGGAAACTGTCAACAAGAAGACCACCAACCATTCCCATCTCTTCCTACCATTAAACTCAAGCAGAAGTTTACTAAAAGAACTGCCACAGCAACCACCAACTCAATATAGTATGGGGGGTATCTACTTGCAGAACAGCCAAGAGTTTGTCCAAACAGTTGACGAGGCCACAAGTTGAGATCTTCACATTTGAAGTTAGTTTGATTAGAGAAGGAAGTCCCCTTGTCTTTGTTTAAGAGTTTCTTCTTTAACTACAGCTGCCTAGGGAATGCTAAGACATTCAGTTATATGTCTCAGATCTTAGTTACAGGTCGACTCATCGTCCATGTACGTGTGTACTGCTTGCTGGACGAAGGATGCATGCATGGCTTTAACTGCTTGTCCCCCTTTTTTTTCCCCCGAAAAATAAATTGATTAACTATATTAAACTATTCCACAAAGCACTCTTAGTGTATCAAAAATAAATGGAGGCTTCATGTCTTTAGCATGCCTGACCGTCGATTGACCATCTCTCTCTCTCTCTCTCTCTCTCTCTCTCTCTCTCTCTCTCTCTCTCTCTCTCTCTCTCTCTCTCTCTGTGCACTTGGATCAGCCATTGCTACGCAGTATTAACTGCTTGTCTTATGATTCGATCAGATGCAATATAATTAACTAGAGAAAAGTCTTCCGTTTGGGCAGCAGCTAACCCCTAAATTGAAATATTGCATCCATCAAGAGATAATGTATATTATCATTCCAAACAAAAAAAAAAAGAAGAAAGAAAATCTAATTGTCGTTTGTGACCATTTCAATCTCTTTTCTTATATATGTTTGATCTTTAAGTAGGGCGATCGAGCCAGGCCAAGATTCAACATGATTTATTTGTTAAGTTCTTGGACTTGACTAAGGCCTTGAATGAGTCAAGAAGACCAAAGAATGACTAAGGCCTTGAATGAGTCAATGGTTGTGCATAATTTTTGTCACCACCATGTCGAATGGTTGTGCATAATTTTTGTCACCAGCATGATTTTTTTTATGAGCCAACAACACCCATACAATTTCTCTAATGTCGCATAGTTGTATTAAGTAAAATATTTTATGTTTGTAAATTTTTTTACCTTTCGGTTTGTGAAAATGTTTTCATCTATATGTTGAATATATCGCATAGCTATTTTATTTATTTATTTTTGATACTTATATACAACATTGATGATGGAAGAACTTTTCTTTTTTTTCCTTTTACTTTCTTTTTGATAAACATTACAATTCATCATAGAATCAAACTTTACTCCCAAACAAAGAATTCATAAAGAGCACAAGAGCGTCCCCACTCCATTCTGTCACTTCCTTTCTCTCCTCTCGATACATTTGAAATCACGGGGAAGCGGACCGTTGCTCCGCAGGCTTTTTCTTTCATCTCTCCTCCTTTTCCTTTCCTCCTCCTTCCCTCCGTTTGCACCACCACCCCAAGCAAGGCATCTGCGAGTTCTGGCGGCCACCACCACCACCATCTGCCTGTTTCTCAGATTCAAGCATGCTCATGGAGAACTCCTCCTCCTCCCATCTCTTCATTGCCTTCTTCTCCCTCCTCCTAACTGGCGTCCTCGCCAAGTCGACCATCGAGCCCTGCTCGGGCTCTGAGTCCTGCCCGGCCCTACTCGGTTACACGCTCTACGCCGACCTCAAGCTCTCCGAGGTCGCCGCCCTGTTCCACGTCGACCCCCTCGCCATCCTCGCCGCCAACGCTTTCGACCCCGCCGTCCCCGACGTCGAGGACCGCATCCTCCCCGCCGGGCTACTCCTCCGCATCCCCACCCGCTGCTCCTGCGCTGACGGCATCCGCCGGTCCCTCGCCGCCCGGTACCGCACCCGCCCCGGCGACACCCTCGCCTACGTCGCCTCGTCCGTATTCGGCGGCCTCGCCTCCCCGGACCAGATCCGCGAGGCCAACTCCATCCCCGACCCGTCCGCGCTCGACGTCGGCCGGACCCTCGTCATCGCCCTCCCCTGCGCCTGCTTCAATCTGTCCGACAACTTCCTCCCGGCAATCTACCTCTCCTACGTCGTCAGGCCGGGGGACACCGTGCCGAGCATTGCCGCCGGGTACTCCACCACGGCGACCGACATCATGAACGTGAACGCGGTGGGCGGTCCCGCTGCGATCAGTCCCGGCGATGTACTCGTCATTCCCTTGCCAGGTGAAAACCACTAGCTCTACTCAGTTGCTGATCTATCGCTACTCAATGCATCGTTGCAAAGTCTGAATACAATCTGTACTTGGAACTTAGCTACATCCTATACGTTTGTGCCAAAACACTGGTTCTTCACAGAGTAACAGTCCTTCAGTTAGCAATTTGCTGTATATCATTATATTGTTGTCATTGTTTCCTACATAATTTAATCAGTAGATCAACTGTTTGCTGATATCTAATATCCATTATCCGGAATGACACTTCTATTTATTTATTGTGTATATTTTCGACCTTGTGATACGTCATTATCGCTAATTAATTTGTGTACTTAATGTATTTGACAATTCTTAGCAGACACTAATTTGGTTGGGATATGTGTTCATCGAATGTCAATGAAAAAGACTCCATTAGAAGTAAAATTTCATGCATCATTCATCTTATGGGCATTTTCTACCGATAAATACGTTCGTGTTTTGTGTTATTACATTTGTTTAACCTGAATGATGATCTTCGTTTTCGATAGTGTTTCTGTTCTCTGTCAAGTCTAAATTAGACTCTGTTTCCTAGTGGGAGTATGTGCTTATTTCTTCTGTGATGGAAGAGTTCATCTGCTGCAAGTTGATATCCCATCGACTCACCTATAATTACACTTGAGTTTACTGCTTCCTCTTCACCTTCCTATACAGCATGCGCATCGACGCTCCCGAATGACGCCTCCGATTTCGGCTTGATTGTGGCAAACGGCACTTATTCCATCACTGCTAGCCAGTGCGTCCAGTGCAGTTGCGGCCCAGGAAATCTCAAGTAATTAGAAACTCGTTTCCTCTCTTCCTAACTTCTTTTCTATCTCATAATGCTTGCGATCTTTGCAGATTGTACTGCACGCCAGCTTCCCTGTCGGTGTCGTGTTCGAGCATGCAATGCAGAGGTAGCAATCTTATGCTCGGAAATATTACTGCCAGGTCGAGCAGCGCTGGTTGCAGCGTCACCTCCTGTACTTACGGTGGTTTCGTCAATGGATCCATCGTCACCAAGTACGCATGTGTTTTGGTGGGGTATTTCCCATCATATATTCCTTTGTAAAATCCAGCTACTGATTTCATTTTACCCTTTTGCAGGTTGACTGCGTCGCTTCAACCTCGTTGCCCAGGTAATTATTGATACTCAATGGCTCATTTCTACTTTTTTTGGTGTAAAACATCTGCAATCTGATCTGTAATACGACTATGCTGCATGCCGTTGACTGATGCAGTGCAACCTCAGATTCCCTCGCTCACGGCACCACCAACAACACTAGTGCATGACTTATTCCTTGCTCCAACGCCATTGCCACTCCCACCACAACCAGGTGGCGCCATGCCAACACCAAAAGAGTCGCCCAAGTCGTCATCAGTGCCGGGGGAGTTCGCACTTCCGGGTGTCTCTCCTGCAATCGGCCCCGATAGTGGTGCCGCAATGGCCAGCTCCGTAAGCCCATTGGATGATCACGGGAGAGAGATGCTTCTGCTTTGTTTATTTCTCAGATTCTTGCTGTAAATCTTGGTCGAACCTTTTGTCCTGGAATTCAACCGAGCTTTGAGTTGATGGAACACATATAGTGTCGCTGTTCTGTTCAATTTTTGCAATTGCTCAATGCAATAATTTGTTGGCCCAAAATTATTTGCTGCATTAGAAAGATGACTAAGAAAAGGTTGTGAACTGCAAGTAATTAATATCTCCCAAATCCAATGTGATTGGGTCTCGTAAATATGTCACGGATATAATCGTAAATATATATGCACACACCTCCAAAGTCAGTGATTTTAGTTATTGTCCCTCTGGATTTCAGTCTAGAAAATGTTTCTTCCTATCAACCTAAGAACTCGTGTATAATTAATCCGACCAACTATTTTATTGTACAATTATTAATTATAAAAATAAAATAAAATAAAATCATGTTTGTTGAATATAAAGATAATAAATGTAATTATATTATTTGTACGTTTTAGATGAATAACATTAAAATCATTAAATAAATCAGTAAATGATAAATATTATTTCTGAAATTTTTTATTTTCAGGAAAACACAGAAATAACTTTTTAAAATGTATAAATGATTTTTATTTCTATTTTGAAGTCTTTATTAATTTTAACCCATTAAAATTATGAAATTAAGTTATTTTCTTAATTTTACCCAAGTTAAGGTGAATTTATCACCCTTTGTAATAAAAACCATTTGAATATTATTATAAAAAATGTTTTTTGAGGTTTTAAGGATATAAAAGAATTTCTGAAGACTTTTTTTTTTGGAATTAGGTTATATTGTTTTGGGCCTTTTTTTAAAAAAAAGAGTATAACTCACATTTTACCTTTTCTAAAAATTCTTAAAAATTCAAGAAAATATAAAAATAAATTTATATGGCCTAAATGATTTTTTAAACCATTAAAATATTTTATATTTATTTCAGCTTTTAAAATATAAAATGATGTTATTTTTTAATTTTATCCAACTTAAGGTGAATTTTTTTTCCTAAACTTTAGGATAAAACCCACTTGAATATTATCATAAAAGGTTTTTGGAGATTTTAAGGAAGCAAAAAAATTTTTAAAGACTTAAATACTACAATTATACTATTTTTAAATGGGTTACAATGTTTTTTTATGCTTTATTAAAAAAACAGTAATTATCACTCGTGCTATATCATAAATACAGTGAATATTAGTGATCGATACCAGAAATACGTGTATCAGTCTTCTGTACATACAGATTCTTGAAAGCAATTTTACGTGACTTGTTTATCTCTCCCCTCTACACGTCAATTTATGTAGCGGATGGGATGGAAACCTCTAATTCCAGATAACCAAACTCCTCCAATTTCTCACTCCAATCTGTCAAAAACTGAAGCATCCTCGTCTTTCCTTGTTTATTAGATCTTATGACCTTCTAAAGGTTTGTGGGCGGTCAATGTTGCGAAAAAAATGACACATTAAAGAAGAGAGGATAGTTTGATACATTAAAGAAGAGAGGATGTAGGCAGATATTTTCGAATTATTTATTGTATTATCGTGAGACGTGAAACCAGTAGGAACATTCCTTGAAGGAAGCTGTGGTTGGTGTTCTCGTTTTCCTTCCATATTTTGTTTGTTTAGTCTCAATGATGGTCTCTATTCATTTTAATGGCATGAGTAGAATATTTCAGTCGAATTAAATGATTATGATTCAAGAATTTGCCCTCTCTCAAAATTATTCTAGCCCTCACTTCTTGCTTCCTGGGACATGATGATTCATTCGAGGAAGTCACAGCAAGGAACTCAAAACGTCATGTGCCAATTCGGCAACACCATGTCGAGAGAGTATGAGCTGCAAGTACATTATTTCTTAGATCATATGCTTGAGTTTGGAATGGTCAAAGTTGATTCCAACTCCATTCCCATCGTCCCCATCGGGAGCCCGATAACTAAGAAGGTCACTGGAAAGTACGTAGGCACCAACCGATCTAAGATGACGTACGAACAATATTCTGTCAGCCGTAATATACCAAGGACGGCGTCCTTCCTCAAACGAATGTAATATACCAAAGTTCGGCTTCCTCGAATGAATGAGGTCCAACAATATTATACTCGTGCTACCATGATCATGGCCGAAATCCGTCACGTGAAAGAGATACCGATGGGCGACGAGGGAGAAGCAGGTGTTGGGGTTCTGAGTCACCGACGCGGTTTAGTTCAGGAGGACAGTGGAGATCCAGCTATTTAGAGTTAGTAGTTTGATGTCTCCCGACTATCGATGTCACCAGCTGTTTTCCTCTCACCTTCAGCTCCTGGAAGCTGCCTCCGAGTCTTAATGTTTCTGATAGCTTTCATGTTTGTCAGCCATCGTGCGTTTGAACAAAGTAAGCAAAGCCATCTAGAAAGCGATAAAACAATTCTCTACGTTTAAAAATACATCACAGGGAAGCAAAGATCTACTTGGAAGATGGGTCATTCAAGAACATGAAGCCAGCATGACGAGTTTCTATTATAACCTTGACTAGTCTCACGAGGAGGGGTTGTTGATAGTTCCCTGCATAGTAAAATATGTAGATTATGGTTGCTAGTTTCCTGCATGGTAAATTATTACTCTTCACTCTTGCTTCCCGGTTTTCACCGCATGAGCTCTACCAAACTGTCCTCTATAAATAAGCTACAAGCCCCATTTCAAGCATACAAGAAAGATAGCAATTGCTTGTGCTGAAGAGACAGACAGAGCGGACAGCACAAAAGCGCATCATCGAGCAGCCATGGTGAAGAACAGCAGCAGCAAAGTTCTACAAGCTGCAGATGGCCACATTGGAGTTGCAAACAATCCTCATGGCACCAACTTCCCACCGAAGCTCGGCAGCAATGGCAAGAGGCAGTACAGGGGTGTGAGGATGAGGAGCTGGGGCTCTTGGGTCTCAGAGATCAGAGCACCGAACCAGAAGACCCGGATATGGCTAGGCTCCTACTCCACACCGGAGGCTGCGGCCCGGGCCTACGATGCGGCACTCCTCTGCCTCAAGGGTAACTCCGCAAGATTGAACTTTCCTACTTCTCCATGCATTCAGCTTCCGGACACCACCATGTCCCCCAGGTCCATCCAGAGAATGGCTGCTGCTGCTGCCGCCGCCGCTGCCAATGCCGCATTACCATTTCCGAGCCCTGATGCAACGCCGCCTTCTTCGCCTCTTGATTCGTTTCTGCCACCGTCATCAGATACCTCTGATGATGAAACGTCGAGGACGACAAGCCACGAGGAAGAAGGAATGCTGAGTGGGCATTTTCTGATGGACCCGTCGATTAATTTCGAGGCCTTTTTCCAGTCACCAAAGTGCATGGATTATATGCTCAATGCATCTGCCTTCTTTGCTCCGTCGCAATCTGAGGAGTGGGAAGAGGAAGGTGACATCACGCTGTGGAGCTTCTGCTGATTACTTGCGTTCCGTTCGGTGATCTCCAATGGCATGCCATCTTTTAAGGCTGTTCCATTAGCTTCTAATTATATATATGTTTTTTTCCCAAAGGGAAGGAATTCTGCTTTCGATGTATACAATCTGTGAACTCTATTCAAGTTATAATGGACTGAAAATTTTGTGCCATTAAAATGGAAGCACATCTCCCGTTAATTGTCCTGTTTTTGTCAATCAGGAATGATCCATGTTTATATGAGAAGCTGTGCAGATAGGAGAGCAAAGAAACATGCACTGAATCAAGCTCGTCAAGGTCAATCGTAGACAGAAATGAGCTTCTCGGGAAAGATGAGAAGATTTGGTATGGACTTACAAAGAGAATCATATTGGTCGATCACGACTCGGTTAATGCTACGAGTTTAAGCAGAGTCAATGCAAGACTTTCTTGTTGGCTGATATGATTAATACGGATTATATTGAAGTAATATAATGTGCTCAAAATCATGAATTGTTGACCGATATGATAATATATAAGACTAGATCTGTAAGGTATGCTAAGTATTTTAAGAGTTCCAATTGGATTTGAAGTACTCTTAATTACATATATATTTTTTTGTTTGTTTGTAGAATTAGGGATTCAAGAATGAATAGGAATCCTTAGTGAATTAGGATTTATTATTATAAATATATAATATATCTTTAGATTTTGATGGATGGGAAAGATGTGAGAAAATATGTTTAGAATTTATGCGAGAAGATGCCAAAAAAAAAAATTAGTCCCTCGTGCCGAAGGCGGATCCAAGATCCGAAATCAGTGCCGATCGATCCTACCCGAATCCGATGGTCCACAACACATCCGAGTATCACGGCTAGCAGGATCGAAGACGTTTGGCGTGGATGTTTCACAGCCTTAAAAGCCGAATCATGTCCGTCGGTTTTGGATCAAACACACCATGCTCCCCATAGAGATCTGGTCACCGATGTGAGTGCAAGATTCTATCCGCAAGCGTTTCCCCTTTCAAATTCTCCTCTTTCTTCGCCATGGCTTGCGACGAGAGGTTGATCGAGACAGAGGTGCAGAAGATGCTCCGACGAGAGGTTGATCGTACGCTTCTTCGCGGCGAAGGGGCGGTACGAGTGCGACTGGGTCGACGGAAAGTACGACGGCCACGGGATCGAGTCCTGGGCGCGGGGAATCCGGTTCTGGGGGCAATACCACAAGGGCCTACGGCACGGGTTCGGGGTGTATATGTTCTATAGCGGGGACAGCTACTTCGGCGAGTGAGCCGGCGGTCAGAGTCACGGGGTCGGCTTGCAGAGATGCTCCGACGGCAGTCGCTACTCTGGGGATTTCAAGGCCGGCGTCAAGCATGAAATCGGCTGCTACCATTTCAGGTAAAGAATTTTCCTCAACATTAGCTTCTTTGGGTTAAAATTTTGTTCTGCCGTTTGTTTAATTGTCCAAAAATTTTGCACATTTTAATTTTGATTGTTATCAGTCACAATTTGGGGGCAAATTTGGAGTGGAAAAAGGAAGAGCGTTCCTGCAATTGATTGTGGAACTTATATTTAGCTGCTGTTGAATCGAATTAATGGAGCAGTGAAGTGTGGATTCAGTCTGAGTTTTGACTTATTTTAAGTTTCAAATTTGGACTGCACATTGCCGTCTGTATGACTTAATTATCATTGTCGTCTGACTGGTTTTCACATTGGGTTTGTCTAATGTTTGGTGTCTGAGAAGGATGAGATCATGTTTTAGTGATCGAAATTATCAACTGATTGTTTTGTTAATTCTAGTCATGTTATTGAGTAACTTGTGGGTGAAGATTTGAACCAGTTCACAAGGCAAACATCGGCGGTTTTTCATGAAATTAGATTGAAGTTAGTCCGCGATAGAAGGTTTCAGTGGCATTTTTAATGTTAGTGGGTTATATGGGATTTGCAGTTTCCAGTCTAATATCCAGATGCAGGCCTCTAGTTTTTCCTGTCACACTTGGTCGTCCGATTGTTTAGATGGTATTATAAAACAGCATTTAGCCACTTTCAATATCCTGATTGACATTTTATTTTTGTTTCTGGTTTCTTTAGTGACCACAACATCCGGGTACATTCACCCACAGATATGCTCTGTTATTCTCTTCTTATGTTGTTATATATAAATACTCATCTGCATATGAGATTGGTTTAGCTACTTTTGTGGTTAAAAGATTTAGATTCGTTGTGAATTGGTGCTTTTCCTTGTTGTTTCGTGTTTTCCTCCATGTTAATTGCGGATTGATCATGTAATTATGACCGGAAGTCTAGTAATTTTCTGACTCCTCATGTCAGTAGTTGTTTTTTTTTGTTGATTTTAGAACCTATTAAAGATAAATGTGAAATCATAGCTACAGCATGGTTTACAAACTGAAGCATTCAAAATCTTAACTCGGTCATAGTATAATAATTTGTTTGATTGATCAATCTGGTGTGATGTTGTCCTAACAGCGGAGGACTTTTATTGCTGTAGGAATGGTGACCAGTATTCTGGAGAGTATTTTGGTGATAAGATACATGGTTTTGGAGTCTAACGCTTTGCTAATGGTCACCGTCATGAAGGTTCATGGCATGAGGGCAAGAAACAAGGTTTTGGATTATACACATTCCGGACTGGCAAGACAAGATCAGGCGATTGGGATTGTGGAGCTCTAAAGAACTCTCTAGTCCCATCAGATCCTGCTGTCCGGCAAGCTGTTCAAGTATCTGTGCTTCCATTGTGTTCAACTAATCTTTTTTTTTTGGGGTGTGTTTAACTAATCTTTGTAGTCTTCTGATACATGCATGATCCAAAATTTCAAACATGTTCTATCGAATCAGGCTGCTCGAAGATCTGCGGAGAAAGCTGCTCTTGTCCCAAGGGTAGATGAGCAAGTAGACGGGGCCGTAACTGCTGCTCAAGTTGCTGCTATTAAAGCTGTGCAGAATCAGATGTATGGCATGTTTCGCGAGACTGATGTTTAAGGTCCAGCATTTTCTCAAATTGTACGCTTGCCTAGAAGGTTACTAGTCGCTGAGTTAGTGACCGGCTAGGCAAAAGCCTACCTGAGTCGGAAAGGGAAGCTGTTGACACCAGATACAAACATCAAGCATTGCTCTGAGATGTGAAATGTACATATCTCCACATGTTCATGATCTGAATTACGTTTAGAGTTCAAGGATCCTGTTCTTAAAAGTTTCAGATGTAGGGTACTCAGTCAAATCTGATGATCCCATGTGCTCATGTTTGCTTGTATATGGCTGTGCACATTGGAATCACAAACTTCTCTCAAATCTGGTATATGGTATATTATTTCATGTATCTTGAATTGAATTGTACCAATACCAACAGTCTTATAGGATATATTGTTTCCCATTAAGACAACACCACCATCAATATTGGGGCACATATGGTATGAACAGTTTGAATTAAGGATCCAATTGTTGCTAGAGCAACTCTTAGATACCATTAAGACAGTCTTAGCATCTACTGGAGGATTTCTCACTAGTCTCCTTCTTAACTTCAAGTTTAAGACATTCAACTTTCTGGTGCCCTTTCTCGTGAGAATAATTACATTTGCCTTTCCTAGTCTTTGACTTTGATCTTGATTAATCTCTATTATTCCCTAACTCTTTTCTTTACCTCTTCCTTTTAGCTATCAAACCACTCACTGAATTTTGAGTCTAATTTTCTAACACCATTTTCTTCAACTCTTTTAGAGTACAGAGCTGCCTTAACATCCTCAATAGAGATTTCATCTCTCCCATATAACATCATGCCAATAAAAGAACATAACATCAATAATCTTAACATTAATATTTTTTTTCAAATCCATAATAATTTTATTGAATTCATTAATATGATTTTTTATTTTATTTGCAAACCATCTACCTATCTGCTAACTAGTATATTCATCTTTATATGTTCCCTCATTTTCCACTTGCCTAAAAGGATTGAATTTGGTATGACAGCTGATCATAAAATCTTGTTGAATGATTCATACAGCATTTCCAACTAAGGTTGCACTTAAGTGCTACCCGATGAGAAATTGAAGATAATGGATATATTTCTTAGCTTATCTTAAGTAAAACAATGTTTTAAAGTGTGTTTTTGGTGCAAATGTGTCAGAAAGAGCTTCTATCTTATGCGACAGACAACATGACATGCCAATCATATACAAATGATTGATGTGGCAAACATACAGAATGCATAAAAATCTTCATTTTCTGTAGTCTTTAATACGTTGATTAACAATTAGTTATTACATTTCTCAACGTCATTAACTTTATCGATTGTCTGCATCACAAGGAAGTAACACAAATCTAGTAATCGTCATGTCTTTATTTCTTGAAATTGTCACAAGGATTTTCTCAGATGGGGCAAGCATTACTATAGTTTTACAATAATAGATAATGGATATTAGTGTGATGGATTGCAAGCTATATTCAAATGGAAAATGGCGTTGCTTTATCGTTAAACATTCAAAACAATTATCACACAATTCATCGTCTCCTGAACATGTAAAAATGTTCCTCCGAAACACTTGATGAGGAGATGGAGACGGTAGCTAAATTGGTCGACCATCGAGGAGTGCCCATAACAACATTGTTTTCACGTGTTTCTCATTTCACGAGGACAGCGAATTGGGACCGTCGCTCGAACCGCCGGTCGGAGGAACCATCATCCGGTCAAAAGACACTGCGAGCTTTTCTTTGAAGGGTGCATGCAAGTATATATATGAAGTTAAGACACGCAGATCCCAAGCCAAGTATGCCCATCGCCAGAGTATTAAGCATTCTCTTGGTATAAACTTCTCAAGATACAGAGCTTGAAGACAGCTCTCATGATTCATTGACAGACAGCGTGTCCCCTTCTCCATTCTTCATGGCCTCTGAGTCTGATAGCAACCACATGGTCTTAAGGCCAGACAAGACGGGTTTTCCATCTCTTCCAACTCTTGTTTAGAACAAAACTCGATGGGCATGTATCCATCGAAACTCCCATTGGCATGGATCTCGACTGGGAGAGACGGAGATGGGTTATCTTCTTCTCTGTCCTCCTGCAGAAGATACTTATGTTTGTTAGGAAGCCGATGGCTTGGTTTGGATCTGCGATCGAGTACTGGCCGAACCTTCTGTCGGAGAATCATGGTTTCATCTCGCTCTTGTTTAATATCTTGACAGGTCCGTACATATATGCATGTTAAATATATTTAGCAGCTCAGTTAAGACTATAACTACTGCATATATCAGAAATTATTTGTATTGTCCTCTGGTCTCGATGTGTGTTATTATGTGTGATATTTCTCAACCCTATTTTGCCATTGAAATATATGTGCGATCAATGAATAACAATCATATTTCAAGCCCCCCTATTCTTCCATCCATCAAATGCTGAAAAATGATCCAACTGACAGTCGTTAAAAAAGGTAGCATTGAGCTCAAATATGTGTAGTTTGTAAAATGGTTTAGTATACAAAATAATCGCTTCTAATTTCCTCTTCATACATGAAAATACATCGATTTTCTCCATTTTTACTTCTGCAAAAGAATAAACATGAATGAAAGCTGACATTGTGTGATTCCTTCTCTTCAGGGAGAGTGGTCTTTCCAAAAAAAGGGTCATCAACTTATAGAACTGTTATTGGATTTAGTGACCCGAGAGTGGAATTGGATAGGAAGATTAAACCAACCGACAAGAAGTATCACGCAGCACTGTCGATGATGGCCGCAAAATTGGCTTATGAAAATGAATCATGCATCCAAAGCATAGTCAGAAACCCTTGGAACGTAAGTTTTTTTTTCCTTTTCCTTCATTTTGGAACTCTTTGTTGCATACTGTAAAAGCATTATCTCATCATGGAATGCTTAGATGATTCAGTTCAAATCTCTATGCATGTCTGCAGATGGAGTTCTTGGGGTTCTACAATTGCTGGAACGGTAAGAGCTACATGCCCTTTAAATACAGCCGAAAAGCCATCTGAGTTACTTCACAGATTGTTATCCATCTCGTCTTGTACCCATTCTCCTGAAGTGGCAACTAAGAAGAAAGATTAGACCGGGATTAATTACATGATCATGATGATTCACACTAGAACGATATTTGCTTCATTGAGTGCACATTCATTTGCTTAATTTAGCAGCCGCAATCTACGCATTGCTTCAGATTACTTGCGTATTACTCTCATAAAACATGTTTCGCATGGGATGCTACAGAATACCAGAAGCAGTTCAGCACACAAGCGTTTATGTTCAGTGACAAAACGGGTGATGCCGAGCTCATCGTAGTGGCATTTCGAGGCACCGAACCCTTCGACGCAGTTCAGTGGTGCACGGACTTTGACATCTCACATTACCAGATACCACATGTCGGGAAGGTCCACCAAGGCTTTTTGAGAGCCTTGGGATTGCAGAGGAAGCTTGGGTTACCCAAGGAACTGAATGGGAGTAGAGTAAGCCCACCATATGCGTACTACGTCATAAGAGAGAAGCTCCGGGATGTGCTGAGCCGGAACGAGAGGGCCAAGTTCTTGGTCACCGGGCACAGCTTGGGAGGGGCTCTTGCAATACTCTTTGCATCCATCTTGGCAGTGCATGGGGAGAACTGGCTGTTGGATAGGCTGCAGGGAGTGTATACATTTGGGCAGCCCAGAGTGGGAGATCGAAATTTTGGGGAGTTTGTGGAGCAGTACTTGGACAAGCCTAAAAGGAGGTACTTTAGGTTTGTGTATTGCAATGATATTGTGCCGAGGGTGCCCTTTGATGACTCTGCTCTCTCGTATAAGCACTTTGGGACATGCGTGTACTTCAACAGCCTCTACAAACCGAAGGTGAGAAGGGTATCTTCCGTACTTAACCAATGATTAGTGTTCCATGAGAGCCTATCTATTTATACTTGAACTACAAGAGCTGATGGTCTTGAAACAGGTGATGAAAGAGGAACCAAATAAAAACTATTTCTCCCTTTGGACAATTATCCCAAAGTACATAAATGCATGGTGGGAGCTCATCCGAAGCTTTCTCATTGGATTTGTCAGAGGCCCAGAATACAAGGAAGGGAAGACTATGAGGTTACTGAGACTTGTTGCGCTGGTGTTTCCTGGGCTTGCACCGCACTTCCCTCAAGACTACAACAACTGCACCCGACTGGTGACTTCTCCTGCACTCGACAAGAGACTCGTGTGACGTGGGATATTCAGCTTCTACATCCTCGTCATGTTTGGAGTCTTTATCGTGTTGAATAATTGGATCATCGCTTCATATATTGTTAATATTAATATTGATTTTGGTGTCTTGAAAATGAGTGAAAATTAGGGGTTAAGGTTTCATTTATTAAAATTATAGTTGTGCCCTTATAAGTTTTTACTTCCAACTTATGTCATTTTAATAGTTCAACCTTTCAAAAAATATATTTTTATTATATATATCTTAAATAAAATTATAGTTTACCATTTAGAAATTAATTTTCTTTTTACTTATGCCCTCAATTAAAAAATTGAACATTTTATTTTATTTTACTTAAATATTCTGATCGGGATTGTCAATGTCTATTTTTAGGTTACTTGACTGAATTTAGATTCGATCAATCGGATCAAATTCAGAAAAAATTAAATTTTGATCAATTTTTAATTTTAAAGATCCTAATTGGGCGAATGGTTCACTCAAATCTATTAGTTTAATTTAGGTAGCTCAATTCTAAGCTTGCCTAATTAAATAAGGTTGATCGGTCTAAAGGTTTCATATGAAATTTAAAAAATATATATTATGATTTTTATAGTTTTCTCATATGATATATTGATAAAATTTTACATGTGATAATTATAAATCTAATTATTGTTCTTAGATATTTATTTGATTAATCACATGCATATATTTGAAATTATAAAAGAATAATTATTTTTCACATAAAAAGTATGATTTATGATTTATCATGATTATAATTATCATATGAGTTTTTCATTATGCTGATTAATATTTAAAAATTATTATGGTTATTGTTTTTTTTTTATTGAACTATTTTGATATATATTAGATTTAAAAACTTTATTGAATATTATTTGTAACTTATATCTCTTAATTTTGTCTTACTAATAGCTACTAAAGTAGCTTAGTATGGTAGACTTACGAGATATGAATTATAATAAATATTTTATTATTTATAATATATTTTAAATTATATTTTAAATTATTTGATTAGTCTTATAGTCGCAAGTAGCCTAGACCAATAACTTATAAAATTATATTAAAGAATTAATCTTAAATGATATGAAAATAACATTCATAATAGCATATATAATTAGGATATTCATATGTCCTAAAGGAGAATCTATTGTAAATAATTATATGATGGGATATGATAATATTGTCTTGGATATTCTTATAGTTTAGGGTTGTATACCAAAGATAGTGATACTATTCCATATGGATAATATTGCTCTAATATAAATAATTTTATGTGAATACTAGATATGTTAATATTTTAATAGGAGATAAAATAGAGATGATATTAATAGTTTAATATTTATTTAAAAAAACTTAAAGTATTAATATTATATTATTTTTATTATAGTAGTACTTTCATCATTATATTCTTGTAATTATCTATATATTTTTCTGAATTAAATTATTATAAATAGTTTGAGTATATATAATTTATATTGCATGTGTGAGATCTTAATCGAACTAGTTGAAAGGATCATAAACATAACTACTGAAAGTTTTATAAAATAAATAATTGATCTAATTGATTGAGAAAGATTAAACAACTTAATTTTATAATAATTACTAATAATATTTAGACTTTATTACAATCTACTTGGGAATCAATATAGTTATTATCATTTATTTATTTCCTGAAATTATCACGAGGACGTTTTTTGAGATGGGGCAAGGATTACTATAGTTTTATAATAATAGATCATGGATCTTAGTATGATAGATTACAAACTATATTCAAATGACAAACGGCGTTGTTTTATCTTTAAGCATTTAAAACAATTATCACAAAATTCAGTGTTTCATTATCTCCCAAACATGTAAAATGTACATTTCCGAAACACTTAAATGTAGTCAAATGGTCGACCATCTACGCACCCATTACAACATTGTTTTTCTTTAGTTTCATGTGTTCTCATTTCACGAGGACAGTGAGTTGGGATCATCGAACCGGTCGGAGGAACCATCATCATCCAGTCTACTTAAAAGACTGGATGATGGTTTTCTTCAAAGGAGGGGCGTGCAAGTATACATATTAAGTTAAGCTAAAGTTGATAATAGTACACTCATCAAACTCTTGTAAGTCAATTTTAATATTGTCCACTTTCGATGTGGGACTAATCAGGGATGTTACATGGATTAATTTTGATTTTGCTCTTAAAAAAATGATAATTTTAATTTTACTTTTGGTTAGTTTAATATGAATAATTAAAAAGAACTTGACATCAGATACCAATTCAGATAAAAAAATTATTTTTTCTAACTTTTATTAATTATTAAAATAGATTATAAATAATTTAACATTGGTAGACCAATCAAATTAGTGATAGAATATTAAGCAAATTATGAGATGAGATTTATATGAAAAAAAATATTTCGATATGAAGAAAAAAAATCACAATCTTCCATTATAAAATAATACAATTACAATATCATTTTCTCTAGATTAACTAGAGAATATTAATATCGTATAAAAATCAGATTTAATTTTTTTCTATCTAACTCATATATCATTAGGATTAAAAAAATTTAATTAACTCTCATATATCCCATCCCACCACTTAAGGATGGAACCACCCAACCCAACAAAAAGTTAATACCAATTCAGCTGAGACAGTAATCGAGTCACGAAAGTTTACATGACCGGTCGGTCTTTGAAAATAGTAGCTAAAAGGAAGAAAGTCGAGCACTTATGTGGTGGTGTTACATCACGCCATTCTGCATCCACTAATGTTGTACACGAATGCTCGCCGTCTTCCTTATCTGCTTTACGTGGAGATCATACCCTTGCTATCTTTGTATTCTATAGACACTTGCCCACATTGCTTCAAGCACTCCGAGTTCAGTTGCATACGTTGCTGCTTCCATGCGGAACTGTGGTCGACATGCCCATCCATGGCCAGCCGAAACCCATCTTTATGGGCCGCTCACCGACGCTACAACCGTCGATGCTCTCTTCGCACCGCCCTCTCTTTTGCCTCCTATTCTTGCCACTCTCCTCTCCCTCTATACTCTTCAGCAGCACTCCAAAAAGCTTAAGACCTTGTTCTTCACCCAACTTCCCCTCTTCTGCCTCCTCCTTCTTAGCCTCTGTTTCATGTCCTGCTCCAGCTGTTAATGCAGCAGCTTCCTGCATCGGATGGCCCGAGTTGAGCCGACTGACATCGACATAGCCGGATAGGAAACCAAGGAGCTGCCGGTACCGGCGCATGGCCTGAGCTAGCTCGGCGTTGAGGATTTGGTTGTCGCTCCTGAGTTTCACGTTCTCGTTTGTGAGGTCCAGAAGATGCTCAGAAGGTGGCTGCAGGGTTGGAAGCGAGCAGGCAGAGGAGGGGCTGTGAGCTTCGTCGGAGCAGGAGAGGGATGGAGGAGGATGACGGTTGTTTCTACCCGCGCTGGATTTTCCAGCAGAGGGAACATGTGGTGGAGCCGCCTTTCGCCGGCAGATGTTGCAGAGAAGCCCCTGCTCCCCTCGCCTGAAGTTGTCATTCGCGAACTCCCACCGATCGGGCACCACCTTGCGGAAGCCCTGGTGGCAGTCAAACAAGAAGAGCATAAAAGAAATCAGCATAGCAAGCTCGAGTAGCATCACATCCCATGGCCATACTAATAATCCTCTGCTGCTTCCGGTCAAATGTTGCTCTATAGTAAATAAAATTTGCAGATCTGAAAGTGGGCAGAGAAAGTGGAAGCACCACTTGGAAGAGTCATTTGCCGGCGGGAAGGTTGTGTCCAGTGGTGGGTGGGTCAAATTAAGAAGCGCACATGATTTTGATCGATGAAGTCGAGTTCTCTGTTTCCGAATAGTTTGAAAGATTCGCAGCGAAAAAGGACAAGCTCTGTTGCTCAAACTCACCCATAGCTTGACAAGAAAGTTCAGAAATTTAATGTAAGAAAGCTGTGGAAATTGGATGCACCCTCACCCTCACCCTCACCCTCACCCTCGTGGTTTCCCGCGTAGACTGTTCACGCACCACCACAGTAACAGAGACATGCTTATCATTAACAGTTTCACAGAGGACGATAAATTTCGGTAGAATTTTTTGTCGTCGGTTAGAAAGTTTCTTACCGAAAATGCCATCCATCAGGATGAGTAAATATTGATTGGAAAACAAAATGGATTAAAATGAAGAGAGGTCAGACGTCAGAAATCAGTAAATTAATGTGCCTGATGATACTATCGATATTATTTCTAGCCTGTAATATTAGTCGGTAAGCCAAGGGAGGAATCCTGCATCGATCGTAACAGCTGGACAAAGGATTAAAGAGCAGAAACACTTACGTAGGTGTTAAGCTGGCGGACGAAACTGGAGAAGTTGTTGTGCTTGAAGTGGACCGGAAGTAGGTCCCTGGCGAACTCCACCGGCTTCCACACCACGAAGGACGTCCCCTCCGTCCCCCAGGATATGACGTCGTCCGTCGCCCCGTCCTCCACCATCTGGTGCGTCTTCAACAGGAACGGCGCCGGCCCTCCGCCGGCACGCCCGGCACAGCTGTTCTTTTTCATCATATTAACTACCTCTTCTGCCTCCACCTCTTCCAGATGCTAAACCAAGAGCAACCTAAAATCTTGTATCTTCTTTTTCCTATAAGAAGAAGAAGAACAACAACAACAACCAGGACACTAATTGCTCTGCGTCAGAAGGATCGACGCAAGAAGACCAGGAAAGCAGTGAAGAACTCCCAACCCCAGCAGCACCGGAACCCGATGAACCCGATGACGACGTCCCTGTGCAAGCCAAACCGCGTTCCGCGATCAACTTTCCGTCACCGTGCAATTCGAGTTAGCCTCTCTTCTTCCGTAACTCACAGAAACAAGCGAAACCATCGAATCCGGGCGAACCCATGGAGGTCCAAGGAGAAGATAAAGCTCGCTCTAGAGGGGACAATCAGAAGGGCAGAGAGAGAGAGAGAGAGAGAGAGAGAGGTGCTTCGGGCTTTTGGCTGTAAATTCTTTGCTTCCGTGATGG